CCTTTTTTTTTGTCCTCTCTAAAAGGGTTTTGTTTTGTGCCTTTTGGTAGGAAGAAAATTTGAGGCTTTTGCCTTCTTGTTTTCTCCTACAAGTAGTAAGCAAGTAAGATAACAATCAAACCTCTGCAAAAATCATTCTGTACACAAAGTGTGTAGTGTCTCGCTTCTTCGTGTGACCGGTTTCTTCTCCCGCGCAAACACACGATCGCTTCACTTTTCTTTCTTCTTGCCTTGGAGGGGTTCTGATTGCTAGCAACTATGAGAAAAGGGTTCCCTCAAAACGCAACGTTATTAGGCGTTTTAACCCAACATACATTGGTATGTTTTGAGTTTTCCCTTAATAGGTTTGGTTCTTTGTAAATAAGCTTTGGAATATCACAGTATTCCATTTAAGACCCTTTGGTAGTAATCATATTGCCGTGTTCGCCAAGCATCTAAGCTACTGCTTATGAGAGAAAGCACCAAAGAGACACATTGCTAGTTTCGTGATCCAACCCAAACAAAAAAAGAGAACGAGAGCAAACTGTTAAACTAACAGTGGATCATGCGAAACGTTGAATTCAGAGGTGATTAAAAAGCTTACCTCTTCGGTTAAGCTTAGATGGAATCGCTTTCTTAGGTTTTGAATGGTTCGTGGACCGCCTTTGAAGCAAGGGAAACCCGAATCCTAATAGACACAATACCAGAAAAATGTAATTGATATGGCAAATAATTATGGCTTGTTGCCAGATATGATTCAGGTTGGTAAAAAGAAGGTAGAGATTACGATACCTGTAACATTTCAACTAAGAGGATAATTCGCTCAGCGTGCTTTCGACATGTAAGGAATCCTTGAATGCATAGCACCTAAGGACAATTGACAATTAGAGACGCTTCCAGATAAATCAGCTATAGAGAAAAAAATTGAGCCTTAAGTGATTAAGTTCAAAGGCTAGAGTGAGACCCACGCGGATATACCTTGAAGTAGTCAAAGAACTCACTTGGAACCCCGTCAGCATCTGAATCCATGACCTAGTTGTGACAAGTGTTTTCTATATATAAATTTGGACTAAAGAATTCAAGGAAATCTAACCAGAAAAGACTTTGAAGAAACTAAGATCCAATATTATTAGACCAAGAATGAGTCTCTTACCTCAAGAAGTTCCCGGGTTAACTTAAATGGAGCACTCTCAAAGTTTACACCACCAGGAGAATTCGAAAGCATAAAGCCAAAATCAATGTGTATAATGTGACCCTCTTCATCCAAGAGAAGATTTCCATTATGCCGATCTTTTACCTAAACCAAAAAGGCAATCAACCATGGGTATCACAAGCCATAAAACATCAAAAGTATGCCTTCGTGAAACTTATCAACAGAACGGGGACGTGCAAAACCTAAATATCCCAGTATTTCAATGCACTTGGATGCATATATATACAGTAGATGAATACACAATGTACTGAGAGGAGGAGTCACTAATGTACCTGCAGAAGGTAACAGACCAAAGAATATCCGGCCATACTCTCAACAAAATTCCTCTGCAAAAGAAGCCAAGGTTATTATATACACAACATGGCACCCAACACAAGTTCGTGAAATTGGGTTTTTAAAGTTTTGCACATATAACTGCTCAAAGTTTGAACCAAGCAGCTTCTTTTCCTTAGAATAACCCATAAAGAAACTATCTTGAAAATTTCAATGCAACGTGCATTCTCAAAAAACAGCAGTTTATGTAGTTCTGGGACTTCTCTCATTTCAACACTAACATGTTTTAACAGACTGAAGTGAAGCAAATTCCTGAAACAAAATAACCAACAAGCTGGTTGAATTAAACTATTAAGATCTACCTCAGCAGTAAATTACCTGCGCGAGCTTAAAACTCGGAGAGTTTTCTTTATACTTTGCAGCAAAGAAATCACGTAGGCTTGTGATGTTGGGGTATCTACTTTTGATAGAATGAATAGAAGCCTGCAACAGGAGAGGAAAATGGTAATTTTACATAAATTTTCAATGTAAAAAGATTGATTCCAAGATACAACGTAGCAAGTACGCAAATGTGCCGAAAACTTTGTTGCTAGTACAATTGAAGGGTTCTGATTAATAAAATTACCGTATCTGGAATTGTTTCTATTAGGGCAGTATACGAAGATGTGACCAAGACTTCATAAGGACGCAACCACAGAGGTAGACCTGCTTCTTGGAATATATCTAGCACACGAACAACACATTTACTCGATAAGGCGGAAATATCTCATCTTAGATAGTAGAATAAGAAAGCCATAAAACAAAAATTAGAAGCCATACCCTAAGAAATAGGATATTAATAGATATTTGTAGATATAAGAAAGTATCACCCACCATAAAAGTGAGAAATGAGTTGCACAGCAAGATGTTCCTGCCGACAGTCGTCACCACTCTTCACAATGATCTGCGAAGATCTAGAGCCGCTTAAAAATAGATGTAAAAAGGAATATCATATGGCAAAATGGTCAACACACAAGGACACAATTCAGTAAAGATTAAACAAGGAAAGCATCTAACTCCTTTGACAACAGCTTTTCAATGTCAACAAATACAAATTAACTTCAAATGCAGCTGGAAGAGAATCAAAAGCAGAAGCTTATCATTAGCAGAGCCTCTCAGACAGTTTCTTAGACTCACGCATTAGTTATTACTTTGATGTCTACATTGTTGCAGGTTTAAAAGAGAAAAATGCTATCATCAGGACCGAATATATTTTAAATAGTTAACAGGTACTTTCACTTACCCAACAAAATTAAGGTTGTATTAGACCTCAAAATTTCTTAATAAACATTCTGGAAAGTTACGGTCCTTCACACAATATCAACCAGAATAACAGAAAACTTTGGGCACTATATCAAGCTAATTGACACAAAGACCTCTTCTATGTCAACAAACAAACTTGATTTAGAGGAATATACTCCATAGGGATACACCAGTATTAAAGATAAAGGGAATGGCATTATGCAGCACTTACAGAACGCAGGTCCCAACCAGGTAATTTGCCATATACTGAAACTTTACGAATTCTCTCCCGCTTTCCCTCCCAAAGTTCACCTGATAAGGCATCACCTTCCTGAAGCATTCCACCATTGGCCTGGTGAACAAGACAAAAAATAAATAAATAGATGGTCCAACATTAAAACAGGAACAGGAAAAGGAAGATTCATTCATATCCTATGTTAAACAAGTATTCACCCTTGGTTGTGCATCTGACGAATCCTGACCAGCCCCTTTGAGAGGAAGGCCTGGAGGTGCCTCTCCCTTCGCTGCAGCAGCCTGCACAAGTCATCAAATTGAGGATTAATGGCGGGTAGAGAGATATCAATATATTGGCTTTATAACCTTAGATCCCTTTATAAGTAAGTAAATAAAGTGTATAGGACAAGAACAAGTACATGCATTAATATCGACTCAACTGAGTATCAGAATTATTCCCACGACTAGATAGAGACATGATGTATCAGATAGAATTTTGAATGGCTAAACATAAAAATAATTGCCTCCTACAAGTTATCGGTCAAGAAACACTCACCCTTACTTCCTCCATGGCAACAGTACTTGGAACACGGCGATGTTCCTTTTTACGCGGGACTGCTGGATCAGGAATGCTTTCCATTTGAAGTCCTGGGTCAGCCGTCACGACCACCCTTACCCATTCAAGATCAGTTTTCGCCCCGGTTTTTGGGGCCTCAGCCAGAACATCATCAAATGGATCACTCAGTGATTCAAAAGATGAAGTGCGACTCTCCACTGAGAGGCTTACATTGACAAGTTTCACCTTCACCTCTGTCTTAGGAGTCATTGCTTGATCAATTGCTTGGGCAGTGGATAGCGACATTCGGTCAGCACTGTTTCGATAAACCTCCTGAGTAGTCCATAGTGGATATGCCCATGGGGGTGGCTTTTGCAAGAATGCGTCTCCGTTTGCCAATGGAATGCCACCTTTAGATAACTTCTGGGAGTTAGATGTATCTTTAGCACTGCCACAATTTCAGGGGGAAAAAAAAGAACAATGGGAGAGTGTTAATAGGAGGTAATTTCCTAGTTAAAGCAGTATACTTGAAATCTAATTTACCTGGGTGTTTCCGCTTTCAAAACTTCTACGGAGATCATGTACGGTGCCTTTTCCCTAGAGTTCAAAAGAATGGATTCGTCTTCAGGAATATGAACAACACGATAAACTCCTCTCCCCATTGGAAAACAAATTCCTGGAAGGTTATTAAAAAAAAAAATCAGTATCTGATACCAAAATAGAACTTGTAGATTGAATATAAGAAAAAGAGAATCCAAAAATGCTTCCAAAAGCTGAAGTTCAGATGCAAAAGATTGGACCACATGAATCTTTCAAGGGAGAAACATGAGTACAAGGAAATCCTATATAAGAGAGGAAAATAAATGATAAAAGAGAAACAAGAGTAGAAAACTAGAAATAAATTGATTCTCCAAAAAAGAGAGGAAGACTGCAATATGATCTGAAAAACTAATCAGAGAAAAAAATAGCCCACATCTACCATACAGTGGACTTATGTGAGCAGCAGAAATACGATACAGAAGAGACACTACTTTTTAAATACAAGAAATATGACCTAGCTCTCAGCAACATAGAAACGGCTTGAAATGTTCACATACTATTTCAGAAAAAAAGCATACATAACCGAGATAATGAATGCCAGTTCAATATATTTGAGCTACACGAGTAAAGTAAACCTCCAAATAATAACTTCGCTTAAGATCTAATTTCAGAAAATACCTCCGGTGGTTTCAGCTTCAGATAAATGAAAATTGATCTCTGCAAGAGACTAAAACCAAACAGAGGAAACATGAAATCTAGTCAGTTGCTACGAAGGTAAAATTTCATCATCAATATGGAAAGTCAGGTGGAAAGGATCACCTCCCGAAGAGCAAACTTCCGATCTTCGATGGGAAAAATATCTACCAAACCATATGATGTTTCACACAGCGCTTGTACAAACTCCAACGATTCATGGTAAGCACCTTTTCTGAACTGTGATGCGGTATTGTTTGGTAGTGGGGGCTTACCAGATGGAGTATCATCTCGCTGTTTAGGTGAACCTGGCCTCTTCTGCAATTGTTCAAATAAGAAAGATTGGTATGAGCAGAATAGAGCACATATGACAGTAAAGAATGTCCTAAATAGATAAACGTAATCAATTGCACAAGCACCCTGTTTCAGCTGGCATTTGTGTTAAAGTAAATTTCACAAGAAGTAGAGATATATAATTATAACCTACAAGAATCTTGTCAAATGAATTTGAATATGGGTCGAACGAATAATGAATGCCAAAACAGTGCAAATTAAACCAGTAATAGCAATAAGACAATAACACAAAAGACCAGGCCAAATGAGAGCAAACCTCCTTGTGTTTCTTTGATCCAAATAGTTCAGAATCTTCAACAGACTGGTCACGATCTCTGAACAGTTTACGGAAAAAGTTCTCTGTCCCAGGACTGCTTTCAACTAAGCCATTGCTGCTATTTTCATTTTCTGAAGTAGGTTTTGCATCTTCTGGATGTATACGGAATAATCTTTTGAACAGAGAAAATTCTGGAGATTCATCACCATCGCTTTCATTCCCATCATCGGCTTTGACAGTGTCTTTCTTGTCGTCAGGCTTATCCTTAAAGAACTTTTTAAAAAACCCCTCCCTTTCATCCTCTTCACCAGCTTTATCATCAGCAAGCACTGTTCCATTGGTCTCATTCTTTTCATTACCTTGTCTTTTGTCATCAAATTTTTCCTTGAAAAGTTTCTTCAGGAACCCATCTTTGTCCTCATCATCCATTGCTTTAGGAACTTTATCTTCCTCAGGTTTGCTGTCACGGAATAGTTTCTTGAAGAACCCTTCTGAGTTTGCATTTGACTCCTCGTCCTCGTTTTTATTTTCCCGTAATAACCTCTTGAAGAAACTCTCCGAGTTTGCACTCAATTCCTCTTCATCGCCCTTGTTATCTCGTAACAACCTCTTAAACAGCCCATCTGAACTCGATGTCAATTCCTCACTTTCGCCTTTGCTACTCAAGAGCCTTTTGAAGAAACCCTCGGAACTGTTTGTTATGTCCTCATCTTCTGATTTATTGTCTTTCAAAAGGCGCTTAAAGAAACCCTCTGAATTAGATGTTGGTTCATCACCGTCACCTTTGCTGTCCCTCATGAGCCTCTTGAAGAATCCTTCCTTTTCACTCTCTTCATCATCTTTGTCAACTGACTTTCTAAACATTAAAGCATCTCTGACTTTAGGGCTTGGGATAAGTTTCTTAAAAATCTTATTGTCCTCAGCAGGTAATTGACTACCATCATCGTGTACGATGGCCCCTGGCGAAGGTGAAAATGACAAAGACTTCTGGGTGGGAGGAGATAACTTCAAAGAAAATAGCTTCTGTTTTGATGACAAAAGTCTACTTAGGACCTGATTCTTGCTCCCAGGGGTTGAGACCTCATTCTGTGGACGCATAAGTGGAGACCACTCACCCATCAAAGTAGCTGCAATTTGGCACTTCTCTTGAATCCTGCTGATGCCTTCATTATCATCAGAATCCTCCAGCTCAGCCAACAAAAACCAATGCACTTTCAGTGCAATTTTCAGTGACTTGCCACAGATATCTATTACAAACTTATCAAGAGATGGGCTTGGTTTGTGAACCATCATGTAGCAAATCTGGAACAGATAGCTCTCAATACCTGACAAGGGAAGTGTATACATCCTATTGCATAAGTAATCCCTAACACCAGCATGTGGGTGCTTGTACAGATAACTGACTGCAATCCACTCACAGAAGAAAGCAGAATCGAAAAACCTAATAAGCCAACCATTAGAACCAGACTCGCCGATGAGATTACTGTGTGAGGTAATCTCACGAGGTGGCTCAGCCGATTCTCCTCGAACCAGAGATAGAAATCTTCCCATCGGCATTTTTCTCCTCTTCTGATCAGCCAAGCATAAAAAGCCCTAGCTCACAGACCCAAATCATCCGTTCGAGAAAACAGATCCAGTAGATTCTTCGACAAATCCAGATCAGATAACAAAAACCTAACGGAGAGAGTCTCTCTCCGATAACTAAACCCTAAGAATATCCGTAAACCTTCACTCCTAAAACCTAATAGCCTCTCGTTAACCGCCAAAAGCTCAAAATCCCAAATGCCCTTCGTTTACAATGCTAAGCTTTTCCCAAACCAGCAAACCTAATCGCGAAAAAATACAGCAAATAGAGATTCCTCGTATCCTACTCATTCCAATCGCCGGAAACCAGATTCGATCGGAAATTTTCTCCCAAGAGATCAAACTAATCTCACGGAAAATGAACCTAGCGATCAGCTAAATCAAAGGAATAATCCTTTCTTCGTGTTATCAGAGATTGTCTGCTTGAGAAATCAAATAAAATTGCAGAGAAGAAAGAAGTTAGCAGAAACGGCCGGAGTCGATCGCCGTCGTGTCTACCGGAAGCGGTTTCTCGTGGAGGATACGGTCGTCGTCTTCGGCTGTTGGTGGCAGACAAAGAGAGAGAGAGGAAGTAATTATTGTTCGCAAACTTTGAAATTATTATTTTTTAAACTTTTTGAGGTTT